GATGATGATGATGATGATGATATGACAACGAGTGGTGAGGCAGATTGTGGCGATGTCGGTGAGTATGCGGATGATGGTGATGGCCTTCACCGTCGTCATGAACGACGCAAGCAATACCCCACAGACCGCGCACCTTGCAGATCCTGCCTTTGTCTTACAGGCTGCGCGCCGCTCCTCGAAACATGAGCTCTTTCTCATCTGGGCGAGGAAGAAGCTGGGCTTGTGCACCGCGAGGAGTGCAGTGCTCGGCACTCGATCTTCACGCATGTTGCAAAATGCTTGAATTGATCTTTTTTGTCGTAAGCGTCTCCAACATCGTACTTTCCTGCCGGTGCATGCAGAATCCTGCTGGAAAGCTCGGATTGCCGAACAAAGTCCGAAAAGACTTTTTTCAGCGATTTCAGAATCTCATCGATGTCGTCGACAGACATGCGAACACCTTCTCTTTCCACCAATCCTTGCCTCACAGCCTGTAGTGCCTGCATCAAGCTGCACCCTTCCACGTGTCGCACTTCTTCGCCATCCACGGAACACATTCCTGCCCCTGGGCCCCACCATAGGCCTGTTGGGGGCTTCTCTGAGTCAGAATCCTGCAACGGAGACAAGAGCCAGGACCCGGCGCTCCCATCAGCGTTGATTCTCCAGCAGCCATCACTCCACAACATCACGGCCCCTGCCTCGTTCTTGTATAAAGGTCGCTCATTGAGGGAACCCTGTAAGAAATAGTCACCACCGCAGTTCGGCTCAGGTGAAGCAAGTGTTTCTACACGCACGTACCGGTCAGTGGATTCTCGAGGCACGACAGCATGCAGGCAAACATGCTCGACTGCAAATGGAGACTTGAATTCCGGTCTCTTTTGTTGCCCGGGGTGATCTCGATACTCATCCCTACCCAAATCCATTGTTTCCAGCTCCTCATAGCTGAATGCGTCGGGATGCGCAATTCTATCATCCCCACATCCGCAATTACACTGCTCCGCGGTGCAACCAAAGGGCTCTGCAAAAAGCCTCACCTCCAGGTGCACCTCTGACATTTTGGAGCGAATCAGCTGCAGCATGCCCGGAAGCATGAAGAAGTTGGCTTCCCTTTCCAAGCGGCGCAATTCCTGGAAGGAGCCTGGCAGCTCCACGGCTCCATCTCGCAAGTAGGAGAGGACGAAGCGAAAGAGATCCCCATCACGGTCAATAAAATAAGCCCCACCGATGGTGGCGGAAGGCAGATTGCTCTCAAACATCTTCGCCAGCATGCCGGAGTCTCCTCTTCGAAGAGTGCTACGAGATGTCACATATTCCTTGCCCCCGACATTTAGACGTACAAAAGGCGAGGTCTCGATGGCAGTCTTAGCGAGATCCTGCCGACGCCTGTTGCTTGGAGCATCCTCGCTGCCCGAGGGGTGTTTGCGTTTCCTGCACACTGCTGCCAGGAGGCCCTCCATGGCAACGCTAGCCCAACTTTGAACGGCGAAAGGTGAAGGTGAATGGTTCAGGCACGTGCCAAAACGGCATCGCTGACACTTGAAAACAGAAAAAAGCTAAGACTTCGTCAGGCCTAAACCCTAAACCCTAAACCCGGTGACAGAGACCTGAGTGCGCAGGTTCGGAGTTTCATTGGTCGCAAGGCCGGCATGTCATTTCGCAGAGAGATTGCAAGATAGCACTTCCTTCCCAGTCCTTGGGTGAATTATGCCACAATGTTCGGTGTTTAGGGAGGGATCAGTGTGCGAATTGGAAACAGTCGGTTAAATAAGCCTATTCATTCAGCAGACGTCAAGCCTAGAGGCAAGACTAAGAGGCGCAAAGCCCAGAGGCAGGACTAAAACAGTCGATCATGCCCCAGAAGTCTGTTGGAACAACTTGTAGCGACCCACCCGTGCGACACCACAACTAGCACAACCCTGCTACAGCCTTCTATATCTCTTTATATCTGTATGTGTGTGTAGATACGTGCATGTAACATCTATGCAAATACACACACCTCTTTTGTATATATATTTACACACACATACACCTATTCCGTATGTCTATATATACATATACACACATGCATATACACGTGCATGTCCGCATGTATGTCGGCATGCCGGTATTCATGTACGCAGGCAGGCATGCACGTATGTATGTAAGAAAGATACGTATGAATCATGCATGATTGTCTCTCTGTCTGTCTGCCTGCCTGCCTGCCTGCCTGCATGTATTATGTACGCATGTGTATACATATGTATGTAGCCATACATATGTATACATATATATACATACATACATACATACATACATACATACATACATACATACACGTTTTTGAGACATGTAATGCATGTACATAAACGCTATGTGTGTAAAGTATTAACACTCCCATCCACTCATTCATTGGTTCATGTATCTGGTATATGTATAATATATCTGTATATATATGACAGCGACTAAGCGCAATAAAGCAAAGCGAGCCCCAGTAGGGGTCATTCCTGCTCCATCGATTAAAGCCCGGTTCACCCGCAAATGACTGCACCACACACACACACACACATACATACACATATGCACACATACACATACTGTATAGACATAGATACGTACATACATACATACATAAATACATACATACATACATACATACATACATACGTACATACATACACACACAGACATATTTGTGCATAGATGTATATACATGTATGGAGAATACGTTGTCATACGTCGTACTATACGTACAGAGACAGAAAGAGATACTGACTGAATGATTGGCTGCCTGGCTAGCCGGCCGGCTGGCTGACCAAGTGACCGAATGAGCCCTGTACCCTAAACCCTAAACCCTAAACCCTAAACCCTAAACCCTAAACCCTAAACCGTGGCTCTGCCGAGACAGTCACTTGCAGCAGTCGCAGCCTGACGAAGAGTATTTATGCTTGGCTTTCCTGTCTGGTGCTTAGTAGGGAATGGGGGAATGGATCTCTATGATCGTCCCTTACTTAAAGGATCATGGGACTNNNNATACTTATAACCCCAATTAAGGGATTATAACCGTACTTACTAAGTCCCATGATCCTCCAAGTAAGGTTCCTTATAGTAGTCCCGATCACCCATTCCCCCCATTCCCTACTAAGCACGAGACAGTTTCTGAAGCATGGAGCGGGCTTCGGGGCGTGGGGTTTAGGGTTTAGGGTTTAGGGTTTAGGGTTTAGGGTTTAGGGTTTAGGGTTTAGGGTTTAGGGTTCAGGAGTTGACAGGTTCTATGCAGGGCTCAATGGCGGAAAGACTGGACAAAGAACAGAAGTACGCCATAAAAATTAGTGAGAGAGAGAGAGAAAGAAAGAGAGAGAGAGAGACAGAGAGAGAGTTGGAGAGAGAGGGTGGGAGGAATGTGAGTCAGTCCGCCAAGAAAACGTAGCACAAGAGCCATGCTCAAGCTTGAAGCCCGAATCCTAAGGTCTTCAAATTCATCTGAATTTGAGGCGCAACCCCTCAACCCCTGAACCCAATCCCAAAGCCAGCAAAAACCCCGCAAAAAACCCCAAAAAATCCTTCCAACCCGAGACCGCTCACCCAAGGCCACCTCGCCCGGCGCCGGTCGCGCCAGCCCCTGGGAAAGGCCAATGCTTCCAGTGGTGGCCTCCGAGGTTCTCGAACTTAGGCTTTAGGGGTTTAGGGGTTT